GTTTTACAAGTCAATTTCTCAATTTCTTTCTGGAGGATTATCTAAAATCTTATCTTATGATTCATACTTTCAAAAACTAATAGTTGAATTGGAAATTTCATTCATATAAATCATATATGTAAATTTTCATGTTGATTTAATAAATTTAACTACAAAAAATTTTTAAAAAGACAACCTGCTCTACACTATATTCTATATAAAATAATTGATAGATTGATAAATATGGTAAAAACATATCTAATAAATTTTAAGATAATAATTAGTATATCTTTCGATTCAACATATTACATAATATATTCATTAAGAAGTTATTATTTTTAAATTTAAATTTAAGGTAAAAAACTTTTAACTACATATTTTTATGATTGAACCAATAAATATTAAAATATATGTTAAACCAAAAAATGTATTACTTATTTTCTTAATTTTTATCCATAAACCAACTTTTGCTGGATCCGCCTAGGCCCTTCTCCACGAAACCACCACACTAGAACAAAGGAGCAAAGGGGAAGAAAACTATTTCTCTTTCGGGGCTAAATTATTTGTGTCTAGGGGTCCACTTCGTAATGGGTCCGCAGGTGTGAACATCCGGAAAATGTTTTGTTGACTGAAGCACGTGCCTTTAATTAAGTTTTGAAAATGATAATCTTTTAATAAATGCTTAAACGTATGTTTAACTAAAAATTATACCAACCATTTTCTATTAATGAATGAATTGCATTTTTCTTTGCCATTAATAGTACCATTTTTTTTTTTTTTTGATATTAATCTTCTGGTATCTAATAATTATATTGGGTTCTGACTAACCCTGAATTAAGCCGCCTCAAACCTCATTTGGAGGAACCTCTACCAACGGTTGTTTCTTCATTCACAAGACTCGAACTTAGGATCTTACTTGAGGTGAACCGAACCCCTTCCACTCATACCAACAAATCGTTAGTTGATAGTACCATTTTAAATGTCTTTAATTTGGGGAGACTTGGTAGTCAATAACCAATGCTACTAGACTGAGTAGTTGCATTCTCTACCCCACAAACGAAAGGCAAGAAATGTTATCCCCTCAGTCTGAAAATGAGATAAAACTTTTTACGGTCGGAAAAAGTTTCCAAAGTTTTGAAAGTAGACAGCATGATTCACATGTAATGTAACAATTTTCTCATAGCTTTTGGTCCACTGTCTTTTGT